CTAGTCTTTCTGTTTCTACCATTGAGTGCAGACATTTGGTATATATTGAGTGGGGACATACAATGACTCTTTCACAGTCTGGCTTGCCTTGCTTAGCAGTAAATCTTCCATATTTGTCCACTTTCTATCAAATGCTAGAGTCTCATTGTTTTTCATAGCTGCCAGTATTCTGTTGATATTTTAAGTCATCTTTGAGTGAGGTTCTTTTAGGTTTCCACTTTACTTTTTCAACTGTCATTGAAATGACAGTTTTTAATTCCGATAAATCTGATTTATTTCCTTCTTTTGTGATCTGTTCTTTTTGTGTTCTAAGGAATCTCTACCTTTCCTGGAAAGTTTACCATGTTTCTGTATGTTTTATTCTAGAAATTCTGTAATTTGGGCTTTTATATTTTGGCCTATGACCTATTCTGAATTAATTTTTGTGTGGTATATGGTAAAGGGCAAGATTCCTTTTTTCCCCTGTTTGGCTTTCTGGTTGTTTCAGTACCATTTGTTAAAAAGACCTTCCTTACTGAATAATCTTGATACCATTGTCAAAAATGAATTAGCAGTATGAGTCTACATCTGGACTCTGTATTCTGTTCCATTGATCTATATATCTATGTTTATTTTATGGCTACACTACTTTTAGTAGTACATCTTCAGTTTTGAAGTCATATAAGGGAATCCTCCAAATCTGTGTGTTTTTGAAAAAAACTTTTTTGTCTATGTTAAGTCTTTTCCCTTCCCATATAAATTTGGGGGTAAGTTTGCCATTTTTAAAAAAGATGCCCAAAGAGATTTTGATTGCAGAGTTTATAATCTGGAGACAACTGTTATCTTAACAGCATTGAATCTCTTGATCCAGGAACATGGTGTATCTTTTTTTAATTAAAAAAAGATTTTTTTTGACAGATAACATTGTAGGTACCTATCATGTACAACATGTTGTTTTGAATTATATAAAAGTGGTGGCATAGTTATATTGGTTTTTAGTTTCAATGGTGTTTTGCAGTTTTCAATGTACTAGATTTTTACATTTAAAAATGGTTTTCCTAAGTGTTTCACATTTTTAGAAGCTACTAAGAGATATATTTTACATTTCAATATCCAATTGCTCATTACTGGCACATAGGAATCAATTGAGATTTGTATATTTATCTCACAATTGCAACCACCTCAAATTCAGTTTAGTCCTGTAGTAGGGTTATTGCAGATCCTCTGGGATTTTCTAAATATACAATGAATTGATCTGCAAATAAAGACACCATTTAAATTAGGAGTTTTGTTTTGCTTCTACTTCTGAAAACCCAGGGAGGTTTTGTTGCACTATAGAGTCATTGGCTCACCTCATGGAAGGGCGTTTACTTGTATAAAGGTCCCTCACAAAAGGAGCCATCAGCTGCCCAGTCCTTTTCCATGCTCTAAAAAAACAGTTGCCTGTACAGTCTATATTTATATAATGACTTAGCAGAAGAAACAGGTGGTTTGGATTTTTTTCCCCAAATTTAAGCCTGTTTTTCAAGTAAGAAAATTGTTTTTTCCTTCCCTTTTAAAGAAGTATACTGATTTTTTTTAATACAAAAGTAATCATACAAAAAAATGTTAAGAATGAGAAAAGCCTACTCTCTTGAGCGCTTTTAACACAGGTCTTCGACATATTTTAGCGGAGGGAAAATGAAGAGTCCTAATAAAAGAAGACAGCAGGTGGAAGAAGGTGTATCCCTGGAACGGAGCAGAGGAAGAAGCAAGTCTCCAGAGATGTGGCAATGGCCAACAGCTCCAAGACACTGCCGTTCCTCAGCAAGGTCCGGGAATACATAAAGAAGGCAGGGAGACAGGGCCCAGGATGATGGTGACATTCAACAGACCTGGGAGGAGGATGGGGGTGGGCCGATTAGTCAGAGCTGACCTTGGTCATGAGGGGGGGGTGGACTGTGGCAGAGGGGGCCCGGGACATACTTCTTTTTGATGAAACTTTACACTGTAAAAAGGTTTATAATTTAAGATACAAAAGAGCTCTTCACTTCAAACATGCTTTAGGGAAGGCAACACATAATTTTTTTTTTCCTTTTAATTAGCTATTGGGTGCTGGTGCTTGGAAGAGGATAGAGGAAGAGAGAGAGAACCCCTGAGCGAATGGCTACACTGCAAGCCCTTCTCCATTCTCTTTCTCTTCTCAGGA